GAGTAATAATAAATGAACAAAAAAGTTGTATATTACAAGGGCGTAAGATTAACAGTTTTCAAAATACAGCCAGTATTAATTTTGGGGAGTTTCATCACAACGTGACAATAGGGCTTAACCTGCTGATGCATACCACAGGTAGGCAGACTTGTCCTACGGAATAAATGTAAACAGCTATTATTGTGAAACATTTAGTAAATTTCAAAACAATTATTTTCCAGTTTTTAAATAAATAAAATAAAATGTGTCCATTTTGTAGTACGAAGATAGTGCTGTGCTTAAATATTAGCTTGAATTTTAGTAATTATCATTCTCTTAAAACAGGAACTTAACTTTTAATCAAATTACGTATTTGAAAAATATGTAATTAAAGTACCCACAGATTCACGTCGTCCAAATAATGATACGTATTAAAAATAATTTAGGTACTTACCAAAAAGCAAAATTCAGTAATAATTTTTAAACGCACAAGTACAAAACAAACTACAACATATGCTCAAAATGTCCACCACCATTTTCGATGCACGCACGACACCTTCGAATCCAATTTTCGCGCATTCGCTGGAAAACACCTCAAGAAAAGGAAATAGTGGTGCGCAAAAGACACTCCGATACGGTCGAATCCAGATACCAACTGAATTGCGTATTGGTGGTTGCTGGACACCTTAGTACCTCGTCTTAATAAACAGCCGCGCCATTGTCACATTGCTCGATATGAATTTTATCGAATTTTAAATTTATTAAGCATTAAGAAGTTCAAAAAAGTGATAAACATTGCAGGTATTTTATGGTATTCTATGCACGCAGTATGTCAAGTTGGAGATTTTGATAATTTTTTCTCGGAAATGGTTGAGTTTAAGACCCGAGTCATATAAGTTTTTTTTTGTTTATTTTAATGTATTTTATCGTCTGTTAAAATTAAGGCAATCAAACTTCTAATACCCTGTAGACTTTGTGTCACGTCAAATTTTTCAGTCATGATCGTAACGACAAATCATTTTCAACTGATTTCATTGAATAATCAGTACACTTGACTACAGGCAATTAAATGCCATTAAGTATATCCAAGAAAATTTACTCCAATCACAAGTAATATATATTATGTATAATGATTTATTTATTTATACCTACTTCGTTAATTTTTACTAAAGTTACTCTCGAAATGTTAAGCAATTAGATACAATGGCTTGTTGAAAAACTGTGATGCGGCTCCACTTTTCATCATAATTTGATAAATACTCAGATATTGGCAAAAAGAAGGTATAAAAACTTCGTTAGTTCTATATACAGAGTGAATCTTAACTGTGTACATATTTTTATGTTGCGAAGAAAAAAGTTAAATAATTGACCATGTTTATAGTCGATACGTCAGTGCATTTATTTCTAAGTTACAGGCAAAATATTTTCATTAAATTACGAATTCAATGACAGGTAATCTGACAAAAATAAAATAAATATTGTTATGTTTTATTAAATTGGAAATTTTATATCGATTCTTTTCTGGACAACCAAAACATAAAATTGTCGAACAAACACAAATTTTAGATTGAATATACATATTTGAAATAGACACAAACAGTGTGTGAATTACTGTAATGAATTTAAATGAAAGACATTTATCAATGGTATAAGTTAAAATTAAATTAATAAATTTTCACAATAAAACGTCTCGACTGTCAAAATTATGACAAAAAGTGAGTTTGCATATTCATAAAACTATTTAAATGCACTCATGTAGTACAATTATGTTATAAAGAACAGTAAAGAACCATGTTACAATATTAAATGTCAATTATAAGTTCTGGCATGAGCACATTTAATAATATAGTGGAATTTTGACAAGTCATCGACGGATGATAAAGGTTTTTCACATGTAATACTGATTCATGCAGTAAAACTGGTATGTACACAAAGCATAGTATACCTGTAACCAGAATGTATGTGTGGAATTAAACCTATGCATCTGTGAAAACTTTTATGTATCATATAAATGTTGACATTTGTTGTTCCATTAGAATTTGTAAATTGTTTATTGTAAAAGTGTATTAGGACTGCAAAATCATATCTGCAGAATGTAAAAAACCCTCATAACTTCATAAACAGTGTTTAAACTCCAACCAAAGTTCAAATTGTTGTGTAGACTTTATAATACTTGATGGAACGGAGTACTTTGAAATTTCCTTTCGTTTACATCTGAAAAACGAGTAAAGACTGTATGAAAGGTGTTAAAAAAGGTTGTACTAAAGACAGTGAAAGGACAGACATGCTGAGAATTAATCTATTTATCAAAATTTAGTTGAAATTTGTAAATATAAGTAAAATTTTGGCATAACTTTTAACTTAACCTAGAAAAGTGCAATTATTGTCAAAAGATGCAAAATAATGCAAGGAAGCTGAACATGTAAATTTCATGCATCATAATTCAGTCCAAAAGTTAGTATTTGCATAAATAAAATTTTCAAAAATGTTTGGTATTGTTGCTATACTGATGTTCACTTGTTTTTCACGTTTCTTAAAACTAATCTCCGGGCTCGAGGAAGCCAGTCTTCCATGTTTACCTGTAGTAGTAACATCGCTAGTTTGCTCCTAGAAAAAACAATTGCTATCAATTAAAAGCAACAAGTTAGTGAAAAGTTTATACTTAGCAAGCCATCTTGGTGGTGAAATGTCGTGAATAGATACAGCTGTTAAAAGTCTGAAAGTCACATTATAGGCTGTTTGGAAATGAAAGAGAGTAATAAAACCCCGAGATATCAACCGGCCATGGGCGTGGTAATATTTCGTTTCAGGTAATTATCGGGTAACACTAATGTTATCGATGAAATGGCAACAAATCGCCAAATAACGGTACTACGGTTACCACCTTATCACTGTGAACTTAACCCAATCGAATTAGTCTGGGCGCAGGTAAAAGGAGATGTAGCGCGAAATAATACGACGTTTAAATTAAGTGACGTGAAAATGGTGTTAAAAAATTCCTTGGAACGAGTAACTGCAGATAACTGGCAAAGATGTATATCATGTACAAAAAGAAGAGGGGAAACTGAAGGAACTCGATAATTTAATTGACGTTACTGTGGAACCTATCGTTATCAATCTAGGAGACGAAGATAATTCATCAGAATATTCAGAGGATGAATTTTAATATACCTACTTCTTTATTTTCTTTATTGTACATTTATACAACACTACATTTACTCACCATAATTTGAATTTTCAAAATACATATATTTTTGTGTGGAATAAAAGTCTATTCATTAAATTTAAATAAATATTTTGATAATAATATTGAATAACTTTATTTGAATTACTAAAAACCCTCTTAACCCGGTTATGATGCTTAAAGTAGCCTCATGTTTTGAAATGCTGTTTTTATATTGTTTACTTATAAGAGAAATGGACCGAGAAATTGAAGCGGCATAGACAAAGACGGGTTGTCGGGGATTAAATTTTAGCTACCTGCTACAATTTAGTACAACCCGGTCACACAGTTTTTTTTAAGTACACCTCATCTATACGAATAATACATAATATAAAAATATTGAATATAAGCACCAGTACTACATTTATTTACGATTTGCATACATAATAAGCTTTTATTATTTTCTTTCATTTCTAAACAGACTATAGTAGAAGTGACATAAGTTCGAAAAGTAATTCAGCAACATCCAACGAGGAACTTCAGAACAGTGCGACTACGTGAAGGAGAATTTACAGTGCAGCGAGGTTACATGCAGTTTAAGTAACCAACAATAAATCTAAGATGTAAGCAATTAGCTAAATAAATTTGCAAATTTAAAACCAAAGCGCTATATAAATTTCTACATTAAAAATTTCACTGCATTTAGGTATGTGTAATTAATGCACAATTCCATTGTCAATCAACTGAACTACTCACAGTATAAAAAAATTATTATGTACTGTAACAGTAGAATTTAGGGGGGAATTTTCTTGTTTAATTAATAAGTATAAGGAGTATAACATTTGTAAATTGTAAAAAAACCCATGACCAGTAAAATCTTGTAATATATCGATATTTTGTAACTTACACATATCTTTCATTTAGAGAAATTAGAGTAACAAATCAATATATAAAACTTTAATCAATATAAAAATAAAATAAAAAAGGAACCCACACGCTGAATCTCATAATAATATCGATAACAACAACATATAAAAAAAAATAAAGGCGTCCACAACAACATAATAATATATAGTGTCTAATTAATTTTAAGTTGGACATGCATTGCATTTTCGGAGTGTATTCTGAAGAATAAAGCGATTTGTCTCTCGAAACGTCAAGAGTTCTAAACCGATGACGTGGCAATGTATCCAAGGATCGTTTATCCGCATATTACAGAAGTGAATCTGCAATAGGTACATTTCTTTGCCTTAATTATACTTAGTTGAAGGTGACATCGTTCCAAAAAAAATTGTGTTATAATTATTTCAAGTGTTTAAATCCAGGAATAGCTGTGTAACATTTCATTAAAGATTATTATGAGTTGGTCCCCAGTCTCAGAGAACTAGATTAATCAATTTATTCTGTCTAGTTGGTTATTATTCCCCGGTTCCAGAGAACTCAGCCAACAGCCTACATGACGAACTCTCATATACTAAACCTGAGAGTGGCATAGTTGAAAGGCACTTCCAAACAAATGACAATGTTGAATTACACGGTAGGCGGCGTCGCCCGACGTTAGATTTCTAAATCGGGAGCGGGGAGAGTCAGTTTTGTCTCGCGTGATTGGATGAATTCGACACATTCGCGCAACGAGTGGGTGGGGCGAGGCAACTCATTCTGCCTAGGGGAGGAGCTTACGCAGCATCCCTGAGTGTGACGCAGAGGGCCTTTAGATGCGCCACTGTGCCGACGGTAAAGTGCACGACAGCGTTCTATGCCCTGACGGAAAGTCTGAGAACTACTCGGTTTGGTTTGCGGAGTCGCGCTTATGCTGTGTTGGTTTTATTCTGTTTGTTATGACGATTATATTTATTACCTATTCCATCTACTGAGTGACTGTGTTAGTTATAAGCTGGATTATGGATGGGGAATTAAGTAAATAAGGTAAGTGCCGTTTGTCTTGAAGTTAATTATCGCATAAATGTCCCGGGCGTTTAAAATGTGCAGTAAAGATAATATTAACATTATTAATTCACTTTTATGGCTATATGTCACATTTAAATAGTGCTACTGTGGAATGAAATTCTAAAGTAGCAGGTTTTTCTCATCAATGTCCAATGTACCTATTTATTTAATATTGAGTGATTCTTATATGTTAGTTTAGTGTGAAATTGGAAAATTAATACAGGCAATTGAAAGAATTACGAAATGCTTAGACTCTTTAACTCTTTTCAAAACTTGTCTTACCTGCAAATATTTTTTAACTCTTTTTAAAACTTGTCTTGCCTGCAAATATTTTTTGATGCCACTATAGAAGAGATTAATGCAGACCTTCAACATTCTACTGAATAATGAATACAATAATAAACACATTGTGTAAAAACACAGACCTGTATTAAACTAATTAACTGATTTTTAAACAACAGGCCACTCGTGTCCTATTGCTTTTACTCCCTCTAATTAAACAATTTTTAGATGACATCTACTCTAGGACGTACATCTTTGCTTTAGGTATAAAAATACAGACAACTAGATCCCTACTGATGTTATAATGTTCTTTTTTTGGAAATGCTGTCAATTGTTGGATTTTAATGTGGAACATATCTTGATATAGATATCGCATATTTAGTACATATTTTATACTTTATACATCTATAGTTGTAGTTTTGTTGTTTTGTAAAAGAAACTAGGTATTTGAACTTTTCTGAACTCGAAAGAAAATTTGAAGACGAAGATATTACGAGTATTACAAATACTTTCAGTCAATTTAACAAATGTGAACTGTTTAAGTACCTGATTGTTATTATGGGTGTTCAAAAAAATTTGTATCTACATTATCTTCATCATCACTTTGTAAGACCAAAGAATATTTTCTCTCAATCCATCCATCTTTTCATCGTAGCCGCGTCTTATCTTTCACAGTTGTTGGAACATAATTTAATCTTTAATTGTTTCTGATTAGATTCACTGTGTTTTTACTAATATTAAAGCGTTATTAAAATAGTATATTGTAGGTACTTTCTGATCATACCTATAATGGAACAGAAAATACTTCTTCACAGCAGTAGGTAAGGTTATTTTTGAACAATTCAGAACTGGTAATACAGTGCGGTATACAGTGGTCAGAGAGATTAGGATCTGTTAGTGTTAGGAAAGTAAGTAGATGTTAATTCCGAAAAATATTGTTCTTCAAACAAAGAAGGCCTTCTTAAGTTTACCTACTTATGTGGCAGTAGGTAACTACTTTACAAGAATTGAAATATTAATATGACAGTAGTTGGTGAGTACAGTATGTAGGTACTTAAATGGATTAAATTTTTATATGTACTTAAATATTTGAAGAAAAAAAAACAGTACTAGGTATCTGTTTTTTCCTAAGTAATCAATATATTTTTTTTATTTATAATGGAAGAAAAAATGTTTATAAAAAGTTCAGACTTCACACTATGAACTGTATGAAACAAAGAAGGATTAAATTATTCTTTAAACTTGATAAATAAATATACACCTATATAAAACTTTTTTGTAAGATATCTGTCATTATTACTTAGGTAACTCATATCTATTTTGCTTGTTTCATATTATTCAGTTGCTACTGTTTCCCTGTGATTACCTGTGTCTTGATTTTGTAAATATACAAGGTGTTTGTAAATAAGTGTGAAATATTCTAGGGGGTGGTTGCCGAAAAAAGTAGGTCGAAATATGCTTCGTTTCCAAGATACAGAGTGTTTAAATTTAAATTTTTTATTTATTTTTATTAATTATTTCAGTTTTAAAGATATTGATACGAAAATTGAAAAACGCTTTGGAGGGATAAATGTGCATTTTTTGGGGTGATCGGAACATTTCTACCGGCACCTTTAAATAAAAGATTAACAAAACCTATACAATAAAATATGTTTTATTTTTTCCTCAAAAACGGTGCATCTTACGAAAGAAATTGAAGAGGCCAATTCTATTCAGAATTGATGGTGGATTTCTAAAAAAATATCAAAACAAGAAAAAGTCACGTACCATTTTTATTATTAAAAAAAGTTGTAGCATTCTCGCACTAACGCCACTGGTGCAAATAGAAATTTTCGGATCACCACAAAAAATGCATATTTATCCCTCCAAAGCGTTATTCAAATTTCGAGTCAATATCTTTAAAACTTCGAAATAATTAATAAAAATAAGTAAATAATTTAAATTTAAATATTCTGTAATTCGGAAACGAAGCATATTTTGACCTGCATTTATATGAACTTTCTTTTCAAAATAACTTCGGCAACCACTCTCTAAAATATTTCGCACTTATTTACAAACACCCTGTATAGTTTCAGTTTAATTCAGGTGTAGAAACATCAAATTTATCATATATTATACTTAAAGAGACGGTATAAGTGCCCATTCATCGAATGTATACATATTATTACTTGAAGAGCAATAATTTTTAAGTACTTACATTGCAAATATACCCCAAGTAATAATATTACTTCTACACTGAAAAAAATATTATCTGTTATCAAACGAACTTGTAGATTGAAAAATGATTTGTTTAAATTTATGGTAAACTACTTAATTGTTAACATCTATTGCAGTAGTTTTTATAATTTTAAATTTGAATTATTATAAATTTTAAAGCACTTAGTTTAAATTAAATAAACAAAAAGTGAATCTTACACATTTCATAACTAATATTGTTAGGTTTGTCAACAGTAAATATTGAATAAACTGTTTTCACTACAAATCTACTTCATCAGTTACCAGCAAACTTATCGAATTGGTTAAAAGAAAACAAACCTATTTTCTATCCATATTACATTACAATTAGTACTGATATTTCAGTGATGATGGACGAGGCAGAAAAACGATTGTTCGATTTGGATGCATATACATACACCTTATTCTATATACACCAACACCTTCGAATAGATCATTTTTATATCTTGTCTTATTTGGAAAGGCCATTCCTATCTCTCTTAAGTTGTTGCAGGTGATTACTCGTAATCCAATTTTCTCTTGACGAGGACGTCTAAAAGAGACAGAGTACCTTTTTTCTCATCCCCATAGTGATGCTGATCCCCAAATGTTTTCCATTAATATGAATAGATAATAATAAATTTGCAGGGAAAGCCTCCGTCTATACGGTTGCTGAAACCAAGGCGCTCTTGAAGGCTCCCTCATAGGAAGTTACCAGAGTTGGTGACAAGGATCAACCCATAACTGCTCTCTTAGTTTGTTCATGAAGCTAATCCCTAAAGGAAAAGAAGGTCATTGTCACACTTTTGTCAAGTACCTATAGTAAACACACATCTTTAATCTATTGCAATGAGCGTTCAATGAAGCTCTTTCATTTGTATTCCTGTGGATGAAGACGACACTTGAAAACTTACTTGGATATCACTTGGCTCTAGTTGGATTTTGTTTATCGTATCTATAGCCTTAATGCAGATAAACATAATATGTTGTTACTTAGGTAATAGCGGAAAGCCAATATTGTAGTGCTGCAACATTGGTTTAATTTACCATACCTACTATAAATAAATAAAAAATAATCATTTAGGCAGCAAAATAAATGCCATTTAGTATCATGTACCTGTTTTGTTAAATAGAAAAACGCAATAACATTTTCACGATTTTATTACTATTAAAATATGTGGGAAATAGTGTGGCATCTTTATCGTTAAATGCATTTACCTCTAAAACGGTTCGTTATATCGATGACAATTATATTTTTTTCACATAAAAACAAACGAAAACATGGTTTCTAAATTTAAGGAACTAGGGCTGTCGAGTGTAGTTTCCTCCGGGTCCCCAAAGTGTTGTAGTTATAGATAAACTGAATACAGTAGAAGAATCAGCTTCAAATAACAAACCCTTTACCCAAAAACTATCCAAATTTCCATTACAAACCAAAATGTTAAACGATAATATTAAAAATTATATAAACTTGCAACAATATGTATTTGTAGACACATTTTGTATAATAATAATTATTCAAATTGTTTCTCTTAATATGTTTTGTATTTAAGGTAAGGTAAAAAGGACTAGTTAACTGTAGGAAGATAAATAACTAGAAAAAATTCGCACATCCCTTAAAAATCCAGAAAATATTAATAGTATAGAAATTAAATCATTTTGAAATGAATAATTCTGGAGATTATTAATTAATAATTAAATAGTATCAATTAGTGTAATTCCAAGAGGATATTGGAAAATAATGAAGCACCTGTTATGAGGAACAGGTGAAGCGATGTCTAACCTGTTTCCTCACCACCTCCTGTAAAATTAAGTTTTTCGCTGTTTCCATTAATTTCAGTCTCCACTAAACACCTTAATAATTTAGGGTAATTTATTCTAATGGTTCAATTTATAATTCAGGCCCTTAGTCATCAAAAATTCTGGTCACATTTACACCATCTTGTTGTTAAACTCAATTTCTTAGTGATTTATAGACCCAACGTTGTTTTGTTATTTGGCAACCGATTTGTTCTCGGCTGCCCCAATATGGTGGCTTACATTTGTCAATTTATGCTGTATATGTTTAAAAATCGTTAAAATGTAATTGTTGTATTTCATTTGAAAATGTCAGGTTATTAAGTAATAAAATCCTTCAAAATATGTGAAAATTAATTGCGTAAAAATGTCAATGGGGATTTTATCCCTAAGCAATTTATTGCCTGTTAATTAAATAAGACTTTATAAATAAATAAAGATGGGATAAATAGCAACCTATTTGAGTACAATATTTCATTTTCTAAATCTATTAGATTATGTACCATCTCCCAGATCAAAATTTTACCCAGTAGTACCCATGAGTACAAGATATCAGATTTAGCATAGAATATCTACCATGTTGGCAACACAGCAGATCTGTTTTAAAACCGATTCACGTTTATCTATTCACAAAATGATTTTGTAAGCTTAATTTTAGTAAATCATATTATATTCTTAAATGCTAT